TTTGTAATATTTAAATCTGGTTGATGAAAAAGTACACACCAGTGCAGGTTATTGTAGCATCTACGAACAAATGAATTAATGGCCCATTGGCAATTATTCCTTTAGGAAAAATATTCAACACAGCTTAATAAAATGAAAAAAATCACAATCATGTCGTATATAGTTTTTTTTAAGCATAAAATAATTTTTATATTAAAACTAGTTCAAAAGTGAAATTACGACCTCTATACTGTGGAGAGTATTGAAACGCTCGACTGACGAATACCACTCTATACCGTAGGGAGATTTAGAAATCGATATTCAAACGTGGCGTCATCCTATACACCTCTATAATTTTCCGTTTGCTGTGTAGTATCGAACAACTTGTAGTGTCACACCAAAGCAAAGGACTACCTAATCTTATAAACTCTTTCATGTAAGTCAACAGAGGCGAGATTTAAGAACATCACGTGATCCACACCGCCTTTGCCGCGATCGGTACACACTATGCAACCGGGAATGCACGGCATTGTTTTAATCGTTTTAACAGAGAGCTTTAGGTTGAAGTAACTCTTATTTTACAAACAACATATTTAGTAAACTGAACCATACAGCGGGTTGGTTTCACTAAAGTTTTCTGGGTTAATTTAACCAATTTAAAAAAAAATTAACTATCTGGTTTAGTACCGTCAGACTCATCTTTGTTTATATTAACCTTCCCACAGTTGATAAAAATAAAAAAATACAAAAATAAATACTTATGGGTCAACTAAATTAATATAGTTAAATGAACTAATCCTTTTTTTCTGTGTAGGTGCACAAATATTTTTAGATAAACACCGTTTTGGTGTTTGCTGTATATAACATTTTCAACCATAATTCATGGTGTTATATTAATACCACTTGGTGTTGGATTTTGACACCATTTTAAGATTACTCTTTACACCACAGATATTTTAAACAGTGTAGCAATTACTTCCGATGATAAAAGTTTCCGAGCGAGCTGACTTTTTTGACGAGTGGTGCTAATTATTAATTAATTTAAAAAAAAAATTAAAAAAGTAAGGTTTTATTAAAAACTGACGTTTACATTCTTAAAGTCGTTCCAATTAAGTCGTTCGTTTACATTTACGTTTACTTTCCTAAAGTCGTTCCAAGTTATTTAAACTTTATAAATGCTCACTTTCTCTGAAAAATACACAATTTGGGTACGTAACCTCAAAAAAACTTGTGTAGCGGTAGGAAATGGAACATTTCTTACCTGATTAGCGGGAGGGATTGAAAATATATACAGTGGAAGAAATAATATTGTTTACAGCGAGAGAAATGAATGTCATTAATTATTAACAATTGCGAATACAATCGGCGCATTAATAACCACTCGAAAAAAGACATATTTTGTAAATACGTCCACCACGAGTTATAAGTTATAAATACCGTCTCTAAAAATTGATATTTGACGGTTCCAAACCTTCAGGCACAATGGCATGGGAACTTGTGTGCAAAAGCATACTTGCCTTAGCTTTTTGGCGAGGGTTAAACCCCCCTAAAATCAGCGGTACAAAGTTCAGCGTTATATAGACGTTGCAACGTCTACATAACACCGAACGTAGTCTCGCTAATTTCAGAGTGGTTAACCCCTTTGCGAAAAGCTAAGGTACATTCTTCCTTATTTAACGCCTTATCAATAGAAAAAAATCCTTATCAAATGTCTATTAGCGATGAATTGCAATTTTTAATTTTTATAATTAGTGGTTTATCCCTACTTTTTTTGGCAAATATCGCAGAAACGCTTTTAAAAGCATACCAGGTATACCTATACACCGAAATGATCACCTTACTTCGTGATAAACACTAATACAACTTTATATTAAAACTTTTAAAACGCAAATACGATACGGCGGTCTTCGTCCTTAACACATAAATAAAAGATCTTAACTGAAGGCAAATCTAGAATTTGTCACGGGGTCGCTCTGTGGTCTAGAACGGGATTAATTAGAAGCGCCTTTGAAATGACCTCTTATTGCTGTATGGAAATAAAAACTTTAAAGTAATATCTTGAACAGTATTTTATTTTGGATGAAAAAATCTAAATAAATAATCAGCATCCTAATCAATCAAATGATACTGAGTATAAAGTCCTGGGGGTGCTTGTGGCAAGACCAGAATCCTTTAAAATGGAAATAAGAAAGACAATTTATGACATGTATGCCGCAGGTTTGTTTATTTATTTAGGCCACAATGACCAACAATAGTGCTTCTGCATTGATGTGTTTCATTTTTAGGAAAGCACTTAACCCTGAATACTCTAAATGAGCAGCTTAAATTAAAGGAAATCGTTAACATAAGCAGAAGTTCCCTGTACACCTTACTTCAGAAAATAGGTTTTACGTATAAAAAGCATAATAACAGAGTTGCTTTAATAGAGCAGCAGGACGTGGTGTTTCGCAGGGCCGAATTTCTACGGCAGTACACCCTAAACGCTAACTCCGAATTTAAATGCCAAGTTGTGTTTTTAGATGAGACTTAGATTTTTTCAAGTGGCTCATGTAAGTGAGGGCAAGCGTTTTATTATACTCCATGCAGGCCATGAGGGTGGTTTTTTTGATAACGCCTCCCTCATTTTTTGGACTAAATCGAAGCTGGCATATTACCACGGGGACATGAACGGTGAGTTGTTCGAAAGGTGGGTAGCTAAAAAGTTGGTGCAGGTACATAAACAATTAGATGGGCGCTTGCAACAACGTTTTCTGTTTTAGGCTAAAACATGTTATGATTGGGGGGACGGCTATGGCGACAATAAAGTGCTAGCAATGTGGGGTCAAGCACTGAACCAATGCACGCCAGTCTGGCCATCACTACGGAACACCAAGGTTCTGGCGTCGCCAGAACCTTGGTGTTCCGTAGTGATGGTCGATGTCGTACCAAAACTAGTTCTCCACCTCGGAGAAGACAGTTCCGACGAGGATGACTTTTAGTAATTTTGTTTCCGTTCTATAAAATTTTATTTTATTAATGAATGTTTTGTGTCTTAAATTTTTTGAACAAAATTCTACAATTCATTGAAAGTACATCTGTTTTTTTATTATTATTTATTAACTTATAATATATTATATGTATGTATATAATATTATGTACAAAATTGGGTATGTTTATTGTTAATCGTTTGCATAATTTACATTAATAAAGTTAAAATAAATGCGAACTAATCATTAGAATTATTGTTTAATTGGGTGTATTTTGAGTTGCGTAATATGAGGCATTAGGCAACCTTTAGCAGCTTCTTGTGTTTTTTGTGGATCAAATCCAACCGAACTGAACAGGTTGAACAATCAACTTGGATTGGGTTCGAGTTAAAAATCCACAAGCTTTGGAATGTGTCCTTTCAAGTCTTCACGCGTGGATTAGGTTTATGGAATGTATCTTACATATCGCCTATAACCTTCCATTTAAAACATAGACAGTTAAAACCTATGAAAATAGGGCTTTTATAAAATTAGAAAAACTAACTAGGTACTACATGGTGAATTTAGGGAAAAAACGGGATTAATAATATACCAAAACCAATGCCAGGGGCTCGTAGATTTTTCAATGATCCGAAAATAACATTGAATATTTCAAAAGCAAATGTAAATCTAATTAAGAGGTTCGGGGTTATTTTGCAAGTTTGAAAAGAAATACCACCCAACATATAATTATGCACAGTAGACAGCTGAGCTTTATGAATCTCTATATAGTTGGTATTATATGCCAGTGCATAAAATATTAATTTATGGGGCAGATTTTTTTATTTGCCAATCGGTCAATTATCGGAGAAGGCTCAGGAGTCTAGGAAAAAGGACTATAAATACTCTAGAAAACATCATACTCGAAAAATTTCAAGATCTACAACGAATGAAGACTTGCTTCAAAGACTTTTAGCAACCTCCGATCCATTTATTTAAAAAACGAAACAAACTCATTTACATTCAATATATACAGAATTGTTATTATAAGTAAATATACTAAAGACAATATATTTCTCTAGTATATTCTTTTATAAGCATTATTTTTATTTAAATTTATATATTATTAAAATCAATCTGTTTTATTTATAATATACCGGATATTGCAATTTTATATATAAAAATTATTTAAAAAAATACTTTTGATTCTAAATAACCAAGATCCCAGGTTATTAAATCTAATCAATTAGTACTTTTTACTATTTTTATATTTAAACCAGTATAAAATCACTGCTGATCCATTAAATTAAAATTTGTACAGAATTAAGATTATGTGTTAAAATTTCACAATGATATTTTTAAATAGTTTTTAAAATAATTTAATTTTAACTTACTTACTTACAAAATTTTAATCATTTAAACCCTTTACCACAAAAATATGGTGTAAAAATGTTATAATGATATGTTTATCAGGTTTTCTTTAATGGATTTTGGATATTTTTGCCATTCCAGTCCACGTAGAAAAAAATTACATTAGTAGGCTTTTACGAGATAAAAAGAATTCGGGTTTCATAAGAGATAAATCGCTATTTTGGTTTAATATTAAATTTTTCTTACTAGAGCATGGACCCAGTAACATAAGTTGCCCCCTAAATTTTTATTTGCAATTTTTTTTTTAAACTTACCGTTCTTAACAAAAAAAAAATAAAAAAAATAGTTTTCACCTTAAACCGCAGGGGATAGGATCCCGCAAATTAAGGCTTAAGACTTTCTTATGAGCCCCAAACGGTTCATGCAATAAATTGACTAGTCATTTTTTCCCGAAAACAGCTTTTTTGCCAGAGGAAGATTCAGAAGTTAAAACTGTACAATTTTGCTTAAAAAGGCACTTAACATTTAAGTACCTGTTACTTTTTATTTTTAGTTGGATTAATTATTATTAATAATTGTTATGCTTACTATTTTTGTCAACACTGACAGTAATTTATAAAAATAAAAGAAAATTACGCAAACATTATATTATGTATATATTAACATGGCAATAAAAATAACTAAACATGTAGAATCATTGTAGATGCCATTTACCCATATTGCAAATGTTACGTTGGTTTAATGTATAAAAACATACAAAATACGTGGCTGCTATATAAGAATATTGACCAAAACAAAAAAGTTATCAATAAACAAATCTCTAGGCGATCACAGAGCGAACAGCACATCCGCGAGCAAAGTGCAGGTCTTGGAAGGGATACCCACTACAAGGCTGAAAAGTCCAACAGTCCTCTTACCAGTCGGTCATAGCGACCTGGTGAATTCACAACATAAAACTAAACCTCATAACGCAAGAAAACCATCACTCAAAATCAGTTTTAAGTTACTGTTATCCTGGAGAACTACATTAACGCAGGCATGGAGAAAGAAATGCCGGAATCTATGGCCACTGTTACCATTAAACCGGATTATGCACCCTCTGAGGCTTACTCTTCAGAACCACCACCGGTAAGTCTATTTGTACATTTTTTTAGATTGTATTAATATTTTTGTATTATATAGCCATACCTACTCTTATAGTTTTTTCTATTTGGAATTTTAAATTAGGATAATAATTTTTGCAACAACAGGAAAAAATATATGACAATATGGACAACTAATTATTAGTTAGTATTTACAAATTTTAATTCGATTATAACTGTTTAAATTTTATTAATTACAGAATTTTGACCTCAGATTCGTCACAAAATCCAATTGACTACGCTTTTTTCCGTATTGTACTCTGTACGCCGCTGCATCCGAATTTATGTCCGAAATTAAATAAACAAAAACGCGTTATTTTTTGTACATATTTTACAGTGCAAAAATAGACAACGTTTTTTTAGGGTGATAGCGAAATTCCGATCACGGATTTGGATTCAGCGACCCAAAACCCATTGGATGTGACAACTCTAGTTGATCAAAAATCCTACTTTTATTTTGTTAGAAATCAATTGTTTTGTTTTATTTTTGTCTAGTGGGTTATTTCATAATTTTTTTTCCAAATTATAAAAATGTTTATAAACTTGTTTAAATTTTATAAACTTTAGAATTAATATAAATTAAACCGTACACCTGATTTTTTGATCAGAATGTTGGATATTTAAGTGTTAAAACAAAAAGTTGGGATATTAAGTTGTCAAAGTAAAATTAAAAAAATTAATAGATTGGAACAAGTTTAAAAATAATACAATATTTTTAAAATAAATTCGTATTAAAAATATATGAAATTAACAAAAGTCGATTTAAAAAAGGAATATTCTAAGTTTTCTTATTTAAATCAACTATAGTTCCAATGGCAATAGTTTTAGAAATACTCGTAAAACTACATACTTTTAACTTGGAATATTTATATGTCACTATTAAAAACATGTTAATGTGATAATTTTATTATCACCTACAAAAGTAAAAGCATAATATTTATTGGATTTTCCAACTTTAAAGTTGTTAGTAAAATAAATGCAAATATAAATATATTATTATTTAAAGTTTATTGACCCATTGGTCTTGAATAACTAACGTAATGTATTTTAAATTTTTATATTTTAATTTATTAAATATATATATATATATATATATATATATATATTATTATAATTAATAGAAGACGAGGTTTGCGTGTCGAGTCGACAGACGAGAGACTTAAATTATCCGAATGAATAATGCGCATAATCTCGAGTGTTATATTATCTACTTTAATTAGTAAATAATTAAATGGATTTCTAAAATTAATTAATAAAATCTGACATATGTCAGTTGTTTAATCTCACTTTCAACCAATTCTAAATATTATTATAGTCGCCTTCTTCCAATTTAAAACCCGATTGGTTTAAATCCCAGTAAAAATTGAAATCGGCCAATTACTGATGCATAACAACGTGAATAATGAGTTCATTATTCCCGTTTTTAGGCAGTGAATTTGTAATATTTATTATTATATAAGGAAAAACCCAATATTATGCAATAGGAGTAGATAAATCATTATTTATTATATTATTTCCATTATTTGATTATTTTTAATATATTGTTATTACTGATACTGATTACTCAATACCATTATAAAATATAAAAGATTTTCTAAATAAATTTATAATCAAATTTTTATATTTTAAAAAATACAAAATACTTTAAAATATTATTAGACATGTATGCTAATAATTTTATAATTCAAGGTAACACTTTTTTGTTTATTCTACACATTAATAATAGTGTTAATTATACACAAAGATTTTGATTATAAATATTTACTACTTACAATTAGTATACGTGATTTGAATGTAATTTTTGGTTAGTTTTTTTTAAACAATAACAATTTTACAATAATTTATTTTTAACTAAAACAAATCCAGTTAAAAAATAATGACCATTATAATTTCTATAATAAAGTATTTTGCATAAATATTAAGATTTATATAAAAGTTAATAGACCATGAGTAATTTGCCGCCTGATATGTAAAATAATAAAAAAAATCAATTTTAATAAAGTAAATTTAATTTGCTAATTGTTTTAGAAACTTGGATGTGTGTTATTGTGAAAGTATATTATTTTACAGCTTTATTTTTATTTTGTTTAAATAGGTTTCATTATTATAAAAATCTAACCTTGAATATATACCTTTATTTATCATAGGTGACTACTAATTGTAGGTAGTTATTTGTTTTCCTTTGATAATTTTGAAATTTTTATAGTTTAATGTATTTTAATTACATTATAATTGCTTAACATTTAACCGGATTATTAAATAAAAAAATACATTTCTCCATTTTCTTATAAAATGGAGTTGGGAATCCTAAGATTCTGACGAGGCGTCAAATTAAATTTAACAAAAATTATTGAATTCGCATTAATACCGCAAAGTGCATATTTTCAAACAAATTCTAAATTTCGGACTTTGATAAATTTTTCTACATTAAATTTTGTCAATTCCTTTTCGGCCTTTTGTGGTTGACAACAAAGCGACGCGTAGCTAATATTTGTTAAATTTAAGTATGAGTATGAGTATAAGAGACGTATAACCAGCCTCATTGCCTCATCACTCCCGGACACCGTACAGGCCTATGTTTACTTACGCCGATTTTTGTTCGCCCCCAGCAACTGCACGGCTTCACCCGTGTTTGCCGGGTGCGAATGTCCATTGCGTTCCGTACTGTCCCCTATTTGGGGCTCGAGAGCGACATGCGAATAGTTTTAATAGCCATTCTCGGGTTCGCCGAGCCGATGCTATAGGCCCAGTAGGGTATAGAGGAGGAGGGACGGGAGGGATAGACCTTTGTTGGTTTTTGGGGGACAATTACGCCGACTTAAAACTAAGTACGACGCGGAATCCCCCTAGACCAGTCGATTAGTATTACTCCAAACATTTGGGATTACTATTTGGAGTTGGGGAGTTGTTATTTCGCTGCAGGGGTGTAGTTTCCTAGTCGAGGTCTTCGTCTTGTTCGTTATTGTTATTGCCCGTGTCCTCAGTCTTGATGCCGAAAACATCAGTTATGAATAAACTAAAAACATCCAATGGAGATAAGCCCAATCTATTTTCAATATGGATTGTCCAATTTATGCGATGCTCAATTATGTTTATATTACTAGATGTTTTTAGGTTTGTCCAAATGTCTTCAGTAACTAAACAAAAAGAAAACAAATTTGGTACAACAAATTTATATTGTTTTTATGTATTTTTTTGGATTATAACTAAATAGTTATTGAGTAAAAATCTTAACCCTAAATAATAATAATTTCTTGTACCAGTATCTGCATCTGCATCAATCAAGTCCTCAGTCGTACTATTATTGTCTGATTCACTCTCATAGTCTAATAATTGTTTCTCCTGTAATCTTGCATCTCTATCGGAATCACTAGGTACGTAATCTGGATCTTCGTCTGAAGAATTTGCGAATGGATCTTCGACCGATTCAATATCACTCGGAAGTTCGTGCACATTGTTATCACTAACAAAAACAGCCGAAGTACTAGGAATACATTTATTGTCCGAACTAATATTTTGAATGTATATCTCCGGCAATACTTCGTTTTTTAATACTTCGGAAGAGTTTTTTTCTTCCTGTAATTACTTGTTTTGTTTCTCGATAGCCATCTGTAAAATTCTGCTAGTCCTGTTAGCCATTTTCACCAAATAAACAAGACTGTGCAATGAAATTTTACAAATTGTGGCAGCACGTGTTTACCAGTTATATGTATCCGGTAAAGCACCTAACGCAAAAAGTTTCTTTTCTGTGCGTTACCAGACCTCCGCATCTGGTGGTCAGTGGCCACACTAATAGATTCTACAACTGTCCAGGAACAGATAGGAATTTGTAAAGCTGTTCTATCTTTAAAAAGGCGGATTTTACAGGAACCGTACGAACGGAAAATTTTGTAAATTTTGGCGCCGTCTGAATGGAAAGCTCGTTACCAGTCAAATATGACTTGTAACGCAGTGAACGTGGTTTTTGTTTGCCCAATTTCCTTTTCGTTTTGGAAGAAACAATTTTTTAAAACAATTGAAACTTTTAACGGATCCCACCCATTTTCAATAAGGAAAGAATTACCTTCCGAAATAACTTTTCACAAAACTAACAAAATTGGACGGAAAAATCTATAAAAAAATGGTCGTATACAGAAAAAGAAAGGTACAATTTTGAATTTCTATCGTTATCGGTTTTTGAGCCAAAACAGAAACAGAAAAAAAAGTTGAGAATTTGATTGCGAGTCGATCCATGCATTCGAAGTAAGATTCATCGGTTATCCTTTACCCACTTTAGACATTGGCCGCCGGCGCTATAAATAAAAGTAAATTAAAATAAAAAGTGTAACCCTTTTTATTTTATTTACTTTTATTTTACCCACAATTCATCATCTTCTATCGTCTTGCCCTCCTGGCCCGTTGGCTGGCAACGCCCTTGTTACACTTAAAAGTATAATATTTTTGCAAAATTCACATAAAATAATTAAAATATAATTACATTATTTTGTGCCCAAAAGAAATTTTTAAAGCTGATATAATAAATAAAAGTAACCACAATAAAAAATTAGAAATTTTTAATTACGGAACATTAACAGGTATCTAAAAAAATGTTATGCCCAAATAATTACCGTTTATTTGATTAATAAAGTGAAAAAAACAATTATCACTTTGGTTAGAATTTACAACCTTATCTGTTGGTAAATTGCCATTTATTGGACTGTGACTGTGCTAAAACAGTTTTAAAACAATTTCTAATGCATGAATCAATGCCTGATTATTAAATTAATATAAATATTTAAACATAAATATTAACATTTATTTTAAAATTTGTAGTTTTACGTCAAAAATTATTGTATTACCTAAGTATATGCAATTGTTAATCTTCCGTGTTGTTAGTTTCCAAATAATGACGACAACAATTTATGTAATGTTTATTTATTTAAGTATAACAATGACTTATACAGCGTACAGTTCTTAAATTCAATACAAGTATTTGCAGAAACAAAA